CATAACATGATTTTGATATACTTAAAATTAATTACTAATATACAAACACTGGTCAATGATAATTGAAAAAGTATAGACTATTCAAATATAAGCTGAATTAACTTGGATAACCTTTCCCAAACATCTAGGAAAGTATGTATCTTATAGTTCAAAACTGAACCTACAAAATAAAAAGGGTACTAAAACAGGGTACTCCGATTAAAACATCATCATTCTTTTGGACAAAGTTATACAGAAATATTTTGTCAATAGATTTTTACATGATGAAATCAAACTTTTCCAAGTGATATTTGTATAAATATTGTGATTTTTTCTTGTATACGTCCAAGTTTATATTCTAGTTTGGATCACATGCATCTGCCTAATCGAACTGGCTAAAGCAATGAAGTCTAAATAGCGATGACTTATTTATTTATGGTAGGAAAATGCCATACCTCTAGTTCTCTGTTCCCAGAATGAAGCTACGCACAGGGAAATACAAGTAACCTGGGTGTTTTATTGTCCACTAGCCACCTGCTATATTTTTCTGTCACCATTTCTGGAAATTAGTATTATCCTTTCTAATGGGACATTGTCATATCAGAAAATGCTAATAACATAATTCCTTAAAATACCACCTACTACAGCTAATATGTTTGGGCATGGCAGATGTTTTGATAAAAAAAAATGGAGTTACATCAGAAAATGGTATTGTTAAAAGCATAACAGCATTCTAATAACAGATGGTATGTGCATAGTGCCTTACAAGGTCTGTGCTTAATTTCAAAGCAGGGCTCACATATTTCTCTAAAGCTGGCTAATGTTAATTTCTAGACAGTGCAACATCCACCAGTATATAAAAATCAAAGCCAAAAACATAGTCCTAAAATGCAATCGGTGTTGGTGGAAAGTACCTGAGATAGAAACCTAAGTGCCTGTCATGCAAATAGCCAAGACTCACCTTTGCTGCAATGGCTGCAGCAGTTATGTGTGAAGAAGAACTGTCCTCTGTTGAGGCAACTCCACTATCCTTCTTCTCTTCCTCCTCTTCCTCACATTGTACACCTTTGTCTTCTGTCTGCTTGTGAGGGCTGGTGGTTGGAGGAGGAGAAAGAGGCGGTGGTGGCGAAGGTAAGTCTTCAAGTTCGTCATGTACCTCCTTAACTTTTACAATGGCATCCCGCAAAAGGTCAATGGCGTGAGGTAGGGCTGGCAGTATAAACTGAAAGCATTCCTATGTACAAGAAGAGGAGAAATTATACTGAAAATTTACCTGCCAAAGAAAATAGGGATTTGTCAGCTCTGTCATAAGGGTTAATTGATTTGAATTCGTTTTCCCATCTGATCAGAAAACAAACAAACAAACAAAAAACCTCAACAAAGCCTAACTGCTTGTTAAGAGAAGTAAGCCAGAATTTAATCCCAAGGTAAATTGGGGTACATGCAGTATATTATTTATACACAAAAACCTCTCTGTTGTACAACATTTAGAACTGCTAAATTTTAACCAAGACCACAAACATTACCATACAGGAAATCACCAGTCCCATTAAATACATAACAAAGCAGCGAATCTAAGAGTTATAGAATGCATAATCATTCAACAAACCTTACAAAACATATGAAAAACACCACACTCCAACAGAAATGTAAAACTTAACAAACTTTAATGCTACCCTTTCATTTATTTATTTATTTGATTTATAGCCAGCCCTATCCAAATGAGCTTTTGTGATATTAGCCTCAAATCTTCACTTCTTTGTTCCTTTTATATCTAGAGATTGATTCACATCATGAAGGGTTTCTTAATAAGGATGTCTCTATAGTAAGATATACTATTTTTTACTCATTGGCTTTTTTCTGTGGACTTTTAGAGTGACAGACTTGCTGATATCATCATAATTTCTCACAATTCGGAGTAATTTTACAGCATCCATATAAAATTTGTCTTCTAATTCTTTCATCTTGTTTTCTTGTAATAGACTATAGGACATTTCCATTTTATGGCTGGAAAAAATGAAAAACTGCAGAGACACTGTGTAACAGACTCTTGCCTCTGAGAATGGCCATATCACCTGCTGCAATTATATTATTTGCATTATTTATCATAAGTAGTATCATCTCACACTGGGTTCCCAGGTTGTTGCCCTATCCTCAACTGTGACAACTTGTTGGAAACAAATTTAAGATTGGGAAACTTTCCTTAGAATACTGGATTGAGCCTTGAAGTGCCACACTCTGACCTGTTCATCATCAACCCTTTGCTCTGGCCTGATCTTTGGACTCGGTCCCCTGAACAGGGAGTCTCTCCCTACAATTGGCCTCAGCCAACTCACTCTTTTTGTCTCTTTCTGGGGCTTGTTCTTCCCCTAGCACCCCCAAATGGCTATTCTCCTCTGGGGCTTGTTCTCTCTCTCTCTAGCACCCTCATTTTTAACACTCTGGGCTGTGTCTCTTGCCCCTGTGCTCAGGCTCCTCTCTCTCTCCCTCTTGGGGCCTACAGTCTGCACCTCCCTACCAGTTCCTCTTAGGGCCTGCAATCTCTACCCGACCTATCCTTCCTGGGTCCTTATAGCTCTAGCCTCCACCAACAGTCCTTTTACAGGGCCTTCTGGCTCTGGACTCTGCCAACAGTCCTTAGTCAGGGCTAGCATGTTAGCGTCTCCCTCTTGGATCTCATGCTAACTAATCAAACGCACAGTGCCTCCCCAAATCAGCCACTGTGCCCTCTCTGCTCCCCTGTAGCAACTCCCATAACTCCTGCAAAACAGAAACATAAACCAGTTATCTGTGCATGAAACAGGCTTTCCTGTACAGCTGCTTCTCCACCAAGGATGTGGGCTAGTGTAACTCTCTCTAGCCCTGGAGCCAGGCCTATATACCTACTGACTCTCCTCTTTTCAACAGGGCCCAGGTGCTTCTAATCATCTATTATTGAGCAGTCTGATGTTCTGCTGCCTGCAGTCTGCAGACTGGGCTTTGCTGCCCTTGAACTTTGCCGCTCACACGTGCTACACTCTGCAGTCGCATAACACTGCTTACTGTGGTAACAGGGATTAGGGGCCCCTGTTGACAGGAGTCACTGTACTTCTTTTATGTATAACATCAGTTGTAAGTGTGCTGTGTTTTCACAGGATGTGTTCACATACGACCCATGTACATAGGAATATCTGAATAAAATTAAAACTCACTAGGACTGTGTGTCCTCTGAAGAGTGGATGTATATGTGTATGTGGTTTGTAAATCTCCTGTTAGACATATCCAAGCACACAATTATCTTCACTTGGCTAAACTTTAAATCTCAACAACCAAATGGGAAATGAACAGTGGAAAAGGAAAGCAAGAGCTAACCCATCATGAAATGCAATGAACTTGTGAGGAAATTCATAAATAATTAACACATTAGGAAAATAAACATCCCACCAGTAAGCCAGTATGGCTTGACTACTGTTAAACAGGTATTATAATATTTGCATTATTTATAGTATTTTGGCAAATGCTAGAACACTGTGGCAGAATTTCTTTCCATATAATTTGTCATAGGACCAATAATTGCTATGGGCCTATCAAAATTTAGACCAGACAAGGATCTCCTCCTCCAAATTTTGTTGAAGCCATGTTAAAGAAAAGAATGGGGCATCCAAAGAGAGGAGGAAGTCTCCCACAAAGGCTGATTCTGTGGCACACTGTGAGAAAGTTCTCTGGCAGTAGCATAGTGATGGGGTGGGTGACCCAGGTACAGGGATGGTGGTGACTTCCAGTTGTAACATAGTTGTCCGGCTATTGATAACGGTTGCTTTTTTATGCCTCTCCACCAAGTCGGTGCCTACAGTGGTTGTCCCTTTCCCCTTGCTCTAATTACACCACTGTTCTCTGGAGAACACACGTGATAATGCAAAAGTCATGAGACTCTAACCACTTGGCTACCTCCTCCTTTGACAGTGTTATTGAATGAGACTGGCCTTGCTTGCTGTATATTATACGGAATCCCATGCTGCTGCTGTGAGGCATGCTCAGAGCATGACTAGTGAATCAGTAACCTCCAAGAACTTAGGCAGAGGTGAATTGTTGTTCTGTCTCATACCTGGTTTGTGACCGAACTTAGACAGGAACAGTTTAGACATGCAGGAATCATTCTAAAACATAGCTGCTAAATGACTTCAGGTACCTAATAAGCTTGCTTGGGTGCTAGAGCAGAGATATTCTGGATTGCTTTATACAATGTATTTCTTAAATCCTGCCTAAGTTCAATTCAGGTGCCTAGTTTCCCAAACTGTCTCAACCTAATTTTGCAGCTTGCTATTTTTGCTTCCTCCTAGTTATAAAGATTCTGCAGTTGTTATTTCATTAGTGATTCTGTTGATGGTGACACTTAAATTTGAACCTTTGTGGTACAGTGGTAAAATATAAATATTTTTATATTTGTGACCTGAGTTAGCACATTATTGGTGCTTTGTCATTATTTATTGAGTAAATTCCAAGTTAATTTAAGGTAGATTCAGAGTTCCACTGGTGCTACAGGGCTATGACAGCAGATTCTCCTTTGTACAAAAAGTGAAGATGACAATTGTTTCTTCTAAAACATAAAGGAAACATATACAGAAGGAAGAAAGTTCATATATTCAACTTTTCAGACTATAACTGGCTTTAAGCCTCCCCATTTTTACAGAAACTAGTCTTATATCTTGTCCAGCTCTGCTTTCCAGTGATATTTAATGCATCATCAACAGGTTATATTAGTTCCATTTCATTTATTTATATAATAAAACTGAAGAAAATATATAGCTTCATTTATGGTTTTATTACTGAAACTGGAAAGGAAGTAATATAGAACATGAAAGAGAGGAAATCCTCATTTACCAACTCATCTTTTTGGGTTCATGAGGTCTCTGCTGCCAGGGAGTATCTCTCTCCATCATGCATTGTAATAATATTTGCTGAAATCTCAGAGCTGTGGGATCTATTATGCTGTACTACCTGATGAGTGAAAAGCTTACCTTCATGGTAGACAACTCATCAGGTTACAAAAATTACTGCTATACAGTGAAACTTAGCAGTATTTTTTTTCCTTTCCAATAGAGTGATCTCATATTATTTGCATATATGAAATATGCTTGTTATACTGTCTCTATTTGTATTGTATCCCTTTTCCGCACCTGCTGTTTATTTGCCTTTCTTTAGATTGTGAGTGCCCCAGGGCAGAAATCATGCTTTTTCTCAGCTTGGAAATTACCTAGCATATTGTAGACACTGCTGAATGTAATTAATAAAAATGACCAGAGACAAATGCCACTCTTCCTCCTCCATAATTTGATTCAGAGGACATCAATCTCTAGCAGATAAAAAGAGAGACAAATAACATATTGAAATAATGTGGCTCCTTGGGATTGCTACATAGACCCTGAGAACTTTTTCAGGGTTGTTCATAATCAAAACGTGTTCATTCTTTTTTAATTCATAGTATATCTGGAGAAAAAATCTTATTCTTATGTGAACTTTCCTCTGCAGTGATGGAAACTCTAAAATATAACATAAATGAGGTTGACATCAGAATTAGCAAAATGTAAAAAAAATAAACAACACAAAGCATAAAAATGTAAATTTCAGTTATGAGTTTTCAATTGCAAATATTAAAACATCCATAAATGAAAGAAAAATATTTGAAATATACTTATTTTTCTAACTGTTTAAAAATGATTTTCTTTTCTTTTTTTCCTTAGCAAAGGTAGTAGTAAGAAATCTATGAATTCTTCAGACCATTGCCACACTATTAGGTTGTTCCAGACTCTTTTGGAGAGTCTTCAGAGTCTTCTAACTGTAAGTAACATTGCGAATGATTCCACTTCTGGCTATACGGGCTTTACACAGCTCTAGGCATTTTTGTAAAAGTGGTTGTGGTAGCTAAGCTTCTGTCATATTCAAGAAAAGTATTTTGAATCCAATAGGATCAAATGTAAAGACAGACTCAATATGAATACTTCTTACCTGTGACCCTTTCTTGCTACCTGGTAGGTTAATTATGAGAGTTTTTCCTCTGATTCCACACACAGGCCTGAAAGGAAACAGAAAGAGTTTGAAATACAAGTATTTTCCTTCACGGGAAAACATAGCACTAAAGGGTAATCCTGACCAGCTATCTCCATGTGCCAGTTTAGTTTGCAATCTCTGAAAATGCTTGGGAACCACATATGGAAAAAAAGGCTGAACTAGGAGAAAAGGTAGGATTTTCTCAGGAGAAGCTGAGGCAGCATAAGGCAAGGTGAAAAATAAGATTTCAACATATAATCAAATATAAAAAAGACATCAACTGGGCTAGATCTTCATTTAGCATCATACTGTGTAACTTCATTAACTTCACTCTTTATTTACAATAAAGTGAGGATCTGATTTATTTTCCATTTGCTCAAATTCTTGGTTTGGTTCTGGCTTGATGGCACCAAAAATACTTTGGCCAATAAGTAAAACAACAGATAATAAAAAGTCACTCAGTCATACTTGTTCTATCGTATATATATATTTGAATTATAGCATATGAAAAGCAGAAAGGATAAAATAATTTTCCTATATAGAAATGTAATCACAAGGGCTCTTGATAGAGCCACTCGGATGGAGTTGTAGTATGTACATTTCAAAACTAAAGGGAAACTTCTTTACAAATCCCATTCTTCCAGAGATCCTGTTCTGCACCCCAAAGCAGCACATCAAGCAATGAAAGGGCTAAGATGAAGTTATGATTTACATCAGAGAATTTGAAATTAGAGTCTGTAACATCAGCATGTAAGATCAAAATGAATAATAATACTATTATTATGCACTCATGTAAGACTATACATTTTAAGAGTTCCACATTTTAATCAATTGTTCCATACAGCACTCCATGAAGCCAGCAAGTACTGCTATCTCCTTTTTACAGATGGAGAGGGGAAGGAAAAGGCATTTTAAGTAACTTGGAAAAAGACAAAGCAGTCTATTGTTTATTGGCTGAAATGAACTTACCTTTGTGTCCATATTTACAACACCGTATTCCAAATACAGCATTTCTACCCACAAGCTATGAGTGGTGACTGTAAACATATCAAAAGGCAGGTTTTGCTTTGCCACCAGAAGAAAGATATTGACCCTTGCCAATTGTAACCCAATCCAAACCCCTTGGTTATACAAGAGTCCACAACCTATGGAATCAAAAAGAGTTTGCAGGAGATATTTTTTCTCCAAAACTCAGCCAAACGCTATTTTATCAAAACCAAGAAAGGACAGATCAGGTTGCACAGAAAGTCCTTGCCCTTTTCCTGCAGTCAACCTGAATGATACAAACCAGAACGGCAATTTAGATACTGTAATATTGCATATTTATAGTACAGTTTGTTTCCTGGGTACTTGTGCTACTGGGAGCCCTAACAATGTGGATGGCTATAATTTTTTTCCTCCTGAGCCCGTTTCAATGAGGAGCGGTTGCTCAAGAGGTTCTACAGAATTTTTCCAGTCGCCATAGCTTCTGATTATTTCCTAGTGAACAAATACATTGTAAGGAAAATGTATTACACTTTTTTTCCTGTTTGTGAAATATCTATGAAGAAATGGAAAATGTTTCATGATTACGAGAAAGAATCAGTTACAAATTTTCCTTCCTTAACTGCTTGATATATAAAATAAGAAACTTGAATTATACCATTTGGTTCTGATTAGTTGTACAAGTCATATAGTCTTGTTTTGATTTTCCAGTTGAATAACTTGGTAGAAAAACTGGCAAAAGATTAAGTGAAATACACCCCATGGTCATATCCAGATGTGCAGGCATGTGCGGTTTGTGGTGCTGCAATACTATTTGCAGTGCCACAAACCAGGCACCCAGAACATTAAACTATGCCCTGCCCTGCAAATTTTCAAATTTGGGGGCAAATTTTGCTACCAGGAAATCCTGGTAGCAAAACCCCCGCAAAAAACAACAACAAAACAAAAAAAACCCAGCACAAAAAAGTGGCCTGGCGCATGCGACATGAGCGTGCTCTGGTAGACACGGAGGCTTGGTCCTCCAGGGAGACATTTTGGCTGCCACTCAGAGAGTCTCCACTCCTTGAGTTGTGCCATGGCTCCTTGAGCTGGGAGGAGTGGCGAAAGGGCAGTTTGCCCAAACCGGGGCAATTTGCCTTACACCCAAGTGCAAGTGCAGGGGTGTGCACTGCGGCAAAAAGTAGTGGCCACTGCTATTTTTGCCACTGCAAGTACAGCCCCCAGAAGTGGGAATGCGCTCCATGAGTACTATATTGTGTGAGTGCAAAATTTACTTTCTACAGAAATTCATGCTAGTAAAATTCTTGAAGGAGTCTAAAATAAGCAAAAACAAAAAGGGGAAATAAATGGCCAAACTCAATTCTTGTTAAGAAAAAAAAAAAGAATAAAGAAAAAAGTAGAAGCACTTTTTTTCTGCAGTACTCGGCTACTTTTGAATTGTCAGAGTCTGTCCAAAAAGAGCCATGAAATTTACCTTTTACACTATACTTGTTCCCCAAACTAATGGTAGCTAAAGTATTTGCACAATCTTCTTTTTAGCAAAAAAAAGGGTGAATTAATTAAAAAGGAAAAAAAGAACAACCTTTAGAAGCTCTCTGGATGTCATAAGAGAACCTCTCAGTTTAATCCACAGAGCTGGACAAATAACTGGTAAAAAAAACTTGGGATGAAAAACATAAATAAAAACAAGACACATGAAAATGTAGGGTCGTAGTCTGAGAAAAAATAATGTATAACATCATTTAGCAAATGGAAATGCCAAACAAAGAAAAAGAGAGCAGGAAAGAGAACCCATTTTTTTTTGTTTTGCTTATATGCTATTCAACATTTAATACCAAGGAACATAACTTGTTTGTGGGGAAAGGAATTTCCCTGGATTCCTTCCTACATAAATCATTCATTATACTTAATGTCATTAGAAGCTATATCACATTTTCTGGCAAAGTCAGAAGTATTCTAGTGATAGTTGCCAAAATGTCTGCAGTGGCTTTTCAAAGCCTCAAAATGAGCCTTTTACACCACAATTAAGTTGACCCACATAGGGAACAAATCTTGTTTTTGACTGTGAGCTCAATTGTGTCCTGTCTCCCAGTCTGCTCTGCTTCCCATATTTGCATATTTCAAGTGCAATATTACACAGTTTTGAAATTCTTTTCAAAGAAACACAGTAAGAGCTTAGGGCTTAAAGATATCTTGCAGAGATTCAAGTGGCAATTTGTCTATTAGATAATGTGAATTGCATGTTTAAGCATAAGAAAGTGCTGATCTTTCCTTCTTCTTGTTCTTCCCTTCCACAGTCTGCCACAGAAAATGGCACCATGTAAAAATGACACTTACCCTTTCATGCGAGCTGTTAGTTTATACTTCTTAGGTCTAGTTTATTAGGCAGAATAACTTAAAAAAATGTGCAAACCAAAATTTAATTATTTCACAGAAGGTCCAAAGTATACAGCCTGTCAATTGAGGTCTTAATATAAACTTGTATATATTTTGTGTCATGTTAACAGAAGTTTATGTAATTTTGTTTGTAAAGAAATCTGTGGTTTACATTACTCTAGAAAAGATGTGCTTTTAAATGTGGCTTGCAAATGTTTATACATGAGCAATATATGCAAATTAGGGGATTCCATCAGATTACTGCTAGTGTATATAGCTATATAAAATCTCATGCCGTGTAGAGCCTGAATATTTGTCTGACATCAATAACACGTATACGCTGGGGGAATAATATAAAGAAAGCGGATGTATACATCAGCAACTACTACATTTTACTTAAGGCTGGACTTGACAACAACATTTTCCTGAATTTGCCTCCCACACAATCTCTGTCCTTTGTGTTAGGAAAGAACATCCACAGGTCCATGAGACCTTTTGAAGGGTGCCACTAGGTGTGACAAGATAAACAGATGAGAGAATATAAGCACAGGTGTTCAGGCTCCTCCCTGCCTAGCCACTGCCCTGTCCCCACTGCCCAGCCCCTGTGCAAGAAGATAAGCACTGTAATAAATTATGTTTTGAAACGGGGTGCTGTAGCGGGGGGGGGGGGGGGGGGCCCCCCCCCCCCACCCTAAGAGATAGATGCCCCCCTGCCCCCAGTTTAGGGCAGTTTGCCCTGCATTCATCTGCCACACCTTTGATGTAAAAATGAACTGATGTACAAAATGTGGGAGGCTTCCCATTTGTGGCCCTGGTATTCTGGACCAAATACATGGCTCTGAACCATCCCTACACCATGTCCCATGCCTTGCAGATAGCATCCAAATCCACTACTACTTGCTCCCCTGGCCCCTCACTGGGCCGCAGTTGGCCTCTGGCCTACGCAGGCCTCAGGTCCCTCTAGGTGGACCTTGGCCCCTCAGTGGACCACTCCCCCAGTCCCTCACTGGACCGCACTCTGACCTGTCTCTGGGTCACACACTCACTCCACCCCATTACTGGGCACACATTCACTCTGCCCTCTTACTGGGCCACGCACTCACACTTGGGGCCTTTTGCCCCTTGGGCCTCAGGTCCCTCTTAGTGGACCTTGGTCTCAAACTTTTCCCTACTACGGGGTGACCTACAAGGCAGTGGGGGGATGAGACTTTACGGCACCCCGTCCTTACCTTTCACTGGGAAGGCACATGTGTGGCATTTCCTGTGGGCTGCCTTGTGACAGGCAATCCCAGTGCACCATCCAACCCCAGCAGGGTGCAGTTTCAGGTCTTACCCAGGACCAAGAGGAACCTCGTCCATCTCCATAGTTCCTACCCTAATCTCCAGATGTTCCAGGAGCTTCAGTCTTCAGGCTGAGGAATGTTTCTCCTCCAGCTCCGCAGATGTAACTGCTGGCCCTGCTTCCAGGTTCTGGGCTTATACACACCCTGCCCAGCCCTCCTTCAATTGGGAGGCCATCTGTGGTCAGGTGACCACCTAACTTGGCCTGAACTCACCTGCCGGCTACTGCACAGCCTGCCTGATGTTCTTAAAGTGGCAGGGACAAACAATGCACAGCCACAGGTGCTGATCAATTCACACAAGTTATGGAGGGGCGCCTTGAGC